ATAGTGACACCAAGGGGTGCCAGCAGCCCAGACCCTGCATGAGCGGCAGCGTGGAGAACACCGCGGGATGGCCCGGGAGCCATCATGCCCCCTGGCCCCTAGCAGTGTGACCCAGAGAGCAGGCCTTGTGCACCAGCCCTGGCAGGCCTGCGTGGAGTGTGCTAGTGCAGCGAACTTGCTGTTGGCAGCTGCAGAACGACTCCTCCCTCCCCATCAAGTTCTGGGTCCAGCTGGAGAGCCTGTCCAGCACCAGGGCGGAGGCCCGGCAGAAGCTGCCTCAATTTCTGACCTCAGTGGCTCAGCGGACAGAAATAGTTGGTGAGCTACTGTAGTTACCAGGGACCAGGCCACAGGGGCGCAGGACCATGGAGAGAGGGGTGCCAAGTGAGGGGCAGGGAGGATGGGGACAGGGGCTAGACAGGGAGGGCAGGAGCGGCTCACTGTGCTGCCCGGCCACAGGCACGCAGAACCACAGTGGCCAGAGCGTGTTCAGCGTGACACCGGTCGAGGGCCTCATGCTGCCAGGGAAGGCGCAGGACTTCACCGTGACCTTCAGCCCCGACCATGAGAGCCTGTACTATTCTGACCGGCTGCAGGTGGTCCTCTTCGAGAAGGTGGGCTGGGCCCAGCCGGCCCACAGTCCCACCCAGTCCTCTCCTGCGCTCTGCTGTCTTCCGAGCCGGGCCACAGGGAGCAGGGACAGGGCATGGGGCGGGGCATGGGGCTAGGGGCAGGGACGGGAGGCAGGGAGCGGGGACCAGGCAGTGGCACAGGGCGCGCTTCTCCTGCCCAGAGGGTCTCCCACAGGATCCTCCTGCAGGGCGCAGCTCGGGAGCACATGATGTTCGTGGAGGGTGGGGATGCGCTGGACGTGCCGGTAGAGTCCCTTACAGTGATGGCTACCTCAGATCCAGACCACAGGGAAGGTGAGCCCCGGCCTGTGGAGTGGGGGCAAGGTCCGGCATGGCCGGAGGACCCCAGACGCCACAGGACAGGGTGGAACCACGGGGGAGGCGGCAGGGGCTGCAGAGCCCTGGCAGGCAGGGTGGGTACTATGGGGTCAGAGTCCTGGGCAGCGCCCCTATTTCCTGGGCCTTGCAGCCAGACCCTGCCATAGAGGCCTTGCTTTCCAGAGTCTGATGAGCTGAAGCCCATCTTGGTGACCCTAGACTATGTCCAGTTGGACATGGACACACCAGCCCCACCAGCCACCCGGGAGCTGCACGTGGGCTGCATCCGCACCACACAGCCATCTGCAAAGAAGGTGATTGAAGTACAGCAATGGCACCTGGCACCCCTCAGACTCCCTGCCCGGGGTAACCCTGACCTCTCCTGGGCTTGCCCATCACTGGACTTGCTGGGGCTTCCTGCGGCAGAAGTCGGTGGCCCAGCAGAGAGTTGAGGGGTGAGAGGTTGGGCACCTTCCTTCCAACCGAACCACAACCACCGCCTACCATTGGTGCCTGGCACCAATGGGACCCTGCTTCCTAGACAGGAGAATTCAGCCTGGACAGCCTCACTTGGCTGCAGCACAAGGGTTTCACCATAGAACCTTCCAGGGGCTCTGTGGAGCGAGGCCAGACCAAGACCATCAGCATCTCCTGGGTGCCACCTGCTGACTTTGATGTAGGTGCAGAGGGCAGATGGGCAGAGGGCCTGCGGGGGACCATCCAGGGAGCGCCCTCAGGCCCAGGGGACCCGGGAGGCAGGGCAGTGGGAGAGGCAGAGCCTCTGCCCAGGAGCTGCTGACAGAAGGTCCCTCCCTCTACCAGCCCGACCACCCTCTCCTGGCATGGGCCCTCCTGCAGCTCAGAGGGGACGTGAAGGAGACCTACAAGGTCATCTTTGTAGCCAGCGTTGTGACGGGGCCCTAGGACACGAGGTGCTCACTCTCAAGAGACCCCGTCCCGCACCTGCAGCCCCCCAACCCCCCTCCCGCACCCCAGACTGTGGGCCAGACCCATACACACCCCTCCCAGAGGCCTGCGCCCCAGAGCCCTCCAAGTCCCAAGCCCACAAGGCCCTTACGGAGCCCACTGAGACCTCTTCAGCCCTAGCCAGCTCCCAGCTGGGCCCCTCAGAGCCCCAGACCCACCATGCCCACACCTACACTGCACACAGCCACACCTACACACCCGCCAATAAACTCTGAGCCATCCGACAGCGACTGCAGTGTGGGGCTTGGACAGCATGGAGGAGGGACAGAGCCAGGAAAGCAGCCCTGCACGCGGGCATGCACACGAAGCACAGGCTCGTGGTCACACACCTGTGACATGGGTCCGGCCTGGCAAGGACTTCCCGGATGGGGGAGGTCCTGTCGGGTCCAGCCTGGGCCAGGGGGGCCCAGTCAGGCAGTGCAGGGGCCACAGCGACCGTCAGCCCAGACACGGAGATGCAGAAAGAAGCAGAAGAAGCCCAGGGCTTCAAAGCCCACAGACTCCCTGGGAGCCCCTGGCTCCTCCCAGCTCCCAGGACCCCTGATGCCCCAGCAAGGGCGGGAGTGTGCAGATATCAGAGGCCCAGCCCACGCGTGTCCTCTGGAAGAGCCAAGCCAGAGGCCACGGTGAGGCTCAGGAGCTGTAGCTCTCGCTTCTCTGAGGAACCAGGGTTCGCCCTGCAGGGAAGACCACGTGGTGCCCGCGATACCCTGCTCCCCACCCGAGAGCACTCACCCACTGCCGTGGAGTCCGAGGGACACTTTGAGCAGAGCCTGCTCAGCGTGGTCCTCCAGTCAGCGCAGGGCACCGTCCGGGGCTGGCACCGGGCAAGAAGATGCAGCCTCCCCTGGCCAGGCAGGGCCACCTTGCTGCACACCCTTAACCCACTTCCCCACCCGCGCTGTGCCACCAGCTCTTTGAAACTGGTTACCAGACAGTGTGCTGCAGACCTGGCGGCAGCGTGGGGCAGAGGGAAGCAGGGCAGGAGACAGGACAATGGGCCAGGAGAGAGCAGGGGAAGAGCCAAGGGTCCCCCTGGAGAAGAGCCAGCCAGCCCCAGCAGAATGAGAAGGCTTTGACAGCTGAAGGAGAGCCTAGTGCCCTTGGCCAGTGGTCCGTGTCCAGTGCATCCAGGGCCCAGAGCAAGGCTCAGCCAGAGAGGCCTGGCCCGGGAGTGCCCACAGCAGAAGTCCCCAGCTCGGGTCCTGCAGGACTCTCACTGAATGTAACCCTCACCGGTCCCTCCGTGGCCCCAGGTACCACTCGGTGCCCCCAAACTGGGGGGCTGCAGGCCAGCGCCAGCGAGCTGCAGGGAGGCCTGAGCCGACCCCAGGGCCAGAGAGGAGCAGAGCGGGCTGCCCACAGCCAGGGCCAGAGAGCTGCAGAGCAGACCTGGGGGCGGGGAAGGCGAGGGCGGGGCTACCAGGGCGCGCCTGTGGGCGTGGGGGGGCAGTCTGGTGGGCGTGGCTTGCCCTGGGCGTGGCCAGTGGGTCTCCTCTTGTGGGAGTGGCAGAGGGGCAGTCCTGAGGGTGTTGTCACTCTGGGTGTGGGAGGGGGAAGTCCCGTGGGCGTGGCTCTGGGCATGGGCAGGGGTGGGCAGTCCTAGGGGCGTGGCATCTGTCTGGGCGAGGCCGGTGGAGAGTCCTGTGGGCGTGGTGCCGCTCTGGGCGTGGCCAGGGTGGGCAGTCCTGTGGGTGTGGCCTTCCTCGGGGCTGGGCGGGGCCAGGGCCCGGTGGGCGTGGCTTTTGGGGCGTGGTCTCGTAACGGGCTGGCGGCATCCTTTGAGCCTGAAGGGGTGGAGGCCTGGCTCCTGCCGAGGCCGCAGCCTCAGCCACCAGTGGGGCAGCAGCATGCGGTTTGGCACGCGGGGCGGGACGGCTGGGCCATAGCGCGGCCACGCCCTTCCGGCCGCCCCCCCACCCCACCCCACCCCCCAGCCCCGGTCCCTGAGTCAGCAACTGCGACCTTCAAGCCAGTAAGTGGGGGGCGGGTAAGTGCGGGGCGGGCGGAGCGCGGCGCGGAGGCCGGGCCAGCCCTGCCCGCACCGCCGGCTCCAGGTGCCGCCCTTCCCGCAG